CCTAGTGGTACCAGATTTATAGTACCTACTGGTACCAGATTTATGTTAAGATCCAGATCCAGATTCTTTTTTTCAGAAAAAAATTCTTCTTTGCATTGTGTTATGAATAATAAAAATGCTTTTAAACAAGGATCTTCAGTATAAGAATCAATTCTTGTTATGCAGTGATGGAATTTTTTATAAAAAGCAGAGCTTTTTATTTTTGAATTGCTATCACTGGTAATGAAGTATTTTGATTTAGGTTTTTCTTGAAAAATAATTGTTTTGAATTGACAGAAAAGCCTGAAAAAAGTGGTTTTAGCAAGAAACATGTGGGCAGAAAAAAAACTTTAAAAAAATATTAAGTGGTCGTTACAAAGATGACTGGCTTTTTTCACTGCTATATGTTCTTTATGTTTATTTCAGTTACTTAGTACCAGGCGTCGTAGACCTGTACCCTCTGGTGGTGAAAGCCGGTCATCAAGTGGGTCTCGAAGGGGGACTAGAAATACTGGCGGCACCAATACACCACCTAATAACCATATACCACGGATAAACGATAGACCAATTACATTTGAAGTGCAAGATCTAGATGAACTAGATTCAGGTATGGTCACAATAATACATCACATATACCGTAGTTGTCCGGGTAAGCGCACTGGGTGCTCAACATGGAAAATTGCTGAAAAAAGGGGTGGGCTTATGCCCGGACATCCCCTGCAAAACAAAAATAATTTATTGCTTATAATAATGACAAATAAACCAGAAATAATAAAAATCGACAGTAAGAAATCATTTGAATTAGGATTTCACTGCTGCAAACACGCGTGAACTCAAAATGAACTAAAATGTCAGGGGTTAAACTGCGTAAAATTATTTCTGGTTTTTCCAAATACCAGATCAATAGTCATACAATAATAATTTACGAATTTACACAGTAAAAATTACGAAAGTTCATAGTTGTTTGAAAAAACTTCTCAGATCTCCATTGCCATCTTTGTCAAAGAAAAACCTTCAAAGTCCAAGTCGGCATCCCTGTCGCCATCCAACAAAATCCCTACAGCTTCGTCCTGAAGTTTGTAAACTTGCTGACTGTTATGATTCTGATAAAAATATCTTGTGTATGCCTGGACATGACAATTTCTTTATTGTATCAAAATTTGGGG